GCATAGTCGATTGTTTTAACAAGCTGAACTTTTTTGTTATTTAAAAAGTAGTCAACTCACTCACATGTCCAATATGACATAGATTTGTTGCATTAGAATTAAGGATGGTTAATTATTGAAGCGACATTCTCTTATAGATTATTGGCAGCCGGATCTGACGATAAACAAGTTCGGATTGTAGCTGCTGGAGGGAAGTTACAGAATCTGTTCATGTATTCACTGGCATCACATAGAGGAGCGATTGTTGCGAATTATTTTCGTAATCAATCGTATGATGTTAGTAGTCGATGCTTTTGGGTGTTACAGCTGAGTATCTTGTTGGCATAAAATCAGAACAAGAAGGCCGAATTGGATGGGTGTTTCCGTGATAATATTTTTTATTGTTGAAAATGTGATAAAGAAGCTGAAATCATTATTCTTCTACTGAGGGATCTCAGCCGCTTCTTTTAACTTTTAACTGCGATCAAAAAGCAAATTGCAATCAGAATCGCCTTGAGGAGTAATTTTGACTGTGATTTTTCACGAATCTTCCAGTTAATTACTGTCGGCAGTCGTGGATTAGCGAATTTATGGAGTTGCTCTCTGACGGCTGGCGATCTGGTGAGCGGCGTTTGCAATAGTGAAACATCAGATGAAGTCAAGAAAATGCTTTATGATAAAAGTGAACGGTTCGTTTTTTCTTTTGAAAATTCATTCTGCGGTTAGTTCATTTTCTGTCTCATCATCGGAATTACTGAGGGCAATTTATTTCAAAAACATTCGAATTCTAACCGAGAATTTTTAACGGTTTTCTGTTGTTTTGCAGTTGCAGGAATCTGCTATTTATCAGCAGATTTTTTATAAATGAAAACTTTGGCAGAGTCGTTTATATCGTCAAATATTTCAGGCGCAATCTTTTCGACGACCTGAGCGGTAACAGCTCCCAAGGAGTAGACGTATCGGCATGCACATATCATTCGCCAACGAATCTCCTCGTGACAGCGTTCACCAATGGTGTTTTCCTGCTTCATGAGCTACCTTCGTTCAGTCTTATACATAGTTTAAGGTTGTTTCACATATCAGTCCTCACTATCAATCAAACCTATTTTTTTTGCGATTGTTTGTTCCTTTGCATATCGTTTTGGTGTTTCGCGCATACTCTGTTATCAAAATTCATTACATTCCGTTATCATTATTTATTTTCTCATTTAATTATGCAAAATTCTTTGAATAGCGTAGCCGTAAATTTATCAAATGATTATTAGTTTATGTGTTGAAGGAACGGATGTTAATTTTGGATTTGCAGGATATCAGAATTGGAAGTGATGAGTATGAATGTGAATAAGAGTGGAGATTGGATTGCGATTGGATGTGGGAAGGGGAGTGATGCACAGCTGGTGGTTTGGGAGTGGCAGAGCGAAACGTACGTTATGAAACAACAATCTCATAGTCAGACAGTGACCACTTGC